ACGCCTGTCTGCCCTGCCCAGGTCTCTCCCCTAAGCCTGGGCCTGCAGGTGGCAGGTGGAGGGGCTGCCCCAGCCCACACTCCAGTCATGAGGGGAAGCACTGGGCTCAGTCAGACCCTGGAAACCAGGCCCCCGGGAGGGGCCCAGCATCCCAGTGGAGTCCCAAGCACGCTGTTCATTGCCCGCTTCCCCCATGATGACTAGGTCTCCCCACCCGCACCCCCACCCCCACCCCCACCTCGCTGCGGGCCTTGCTGTGGGGTCCGAGCAGTCATGTCCAGCTTGAGGAAGGGCTGCTTCTGAGGTCAGGTGTTGTCTTTCAATTAAAGAAACACTGAAAAAAAATTTTTCCTTTCTAATTTTTTTTTTGTTCTCAAGTTTATTGTGTGTGTGTTTTTCTGATTAATTAAACGTTTTTTGTGATCATTAAGAGAATGTTTATAAACAATGGAAAGTGTGGGGATATATAAGGAAGAAAAGAGTGCGCACACATCATCTTTCAGGTTTGAAACACACTGTATCCCAGGTGCTCTGTGCAGCCTGTTGAATACAGTGTATCCCAGGTGCTCTGTGCAGCCTGTTGAATACACTGTATCCCCGGTGCTCTGTGCAGCCTGTTGAATACAGTGTATCCCAGGTGCTCTGTGCAGCCTGTTGAATACACTGTATCCCGGTGCTCTGTGCAGCCTGTTGAATACACTGTATCCCCGGTGCTCTGTGCAGCCTGTTGAATACACTGTATCCCAGGTGCTCTGTGCAGCCTGTTGAATACACTGTATCCCCGGTGCTCTGTGCAGCCTGTTGAATACAGTGTATCCCCGGTGCTCTGTGCAGCCTGTTGAATACACTGTATCCCCGGTGCTCTGTGCAGCCTGTTGAATACAGTGTATCCCCGGTGCTCTGTGCAGCCTGTTGAATACACTGTATCCCCGGTGCTCTGTGCAGCCTGTTGAATACAGTGTATCCCCGGTGCTCTGTGCAGCCTGTTGAATACACTGTATCCCCGGTGCTCTGTGCAGCCTGTTGAAACACAATGTATGTTGGGGCTCTGCCCAGTTAGCTATGCTCTGCCCAGCCTGTCTTGAGTCACTCTCAGCCAATGGGTGGTTCTAGGTTGGGTTTGTTATTTTTTTTCTTGATGATAAAAAGAATTGAGTTTGTAACCTTTTAGCCTAAATCTTGTGTGAAGATGATATTAGTCTTTAAACTCTAAGCATGGAAGAGGGAAGAATGCATTACTGTTGCTTTAATGTGGCCACTGGAAGGCTGTGCATTCCCCCACATGGTCAGTGGCCATGGACATTGCTTTTTGTGGGAACAGCTTGATCTCCTCCATTGCCCATTTTTGGGGTGTATATCGGTTATTTTGTCTTTCACCACAATATTAATTTCTAGGAGTTTGTTTTTTTCCCCTTTGGTTGCTGGTACATAGTTCCAATGTTTCTTCCAGATGGTCAGTTTGCCTTTTGATTCTGATTAGGACAGAGTACCCGAGATACACTGTGTTTCAACAGTCTTGCTCTACAGAAGTTTAAATCTGTACGCGGTTCAATTGAACTCTTAGTTTTAGTTGCAGTTTTCTGACTTCTGGGTTTCTGATACTGTTCAGGAGGTCTCACTCCCACGGTTACGGGAAGTGTTTTTATTCTGGGCACTTCTTCACCTGCCTGCTGCCTTCTCTTTGTCCCCCCTCCCTCCTCCTCCCCGCCTCCTTTCTTTCTTCCCATACCTGGGTCTTTGAACCTTCTGGAATTTATTATTGTTGCTGTTGAGGTGGGATCAGATGTTATATCCTTCCCGATTGGTCCCTGGTGTTCTTGGAGCTCCGAATCCTGGCTCGGTGGATTGTGCCCATTGAAAATGTTTTCATACATCGTTCCCTCTCCTAGCACCGTCCCAGGGCCAAGGCCACAGGCTGCTGACCTCCTTTCCCCAGCTCTGCTGTCTGGCCTCCCCTGGCCCAAGTCGGCCTCCATCAGCCTCGCCTCTCTGCCCTGCCCCTGCCCCGCCCCTGCCCCGCCCCCTGCCTTCAGTGTGCTCTGAGCCTGCTGCAGGTCTGCAGCATTAGTCCTTTCCCTGGGGACAGGGCAGCAGGCTGGCCTGGAAAGGGCAGATGCAGCCAGTCCCGTGCCTCTGTGGCGTGCAGGCTCCCAGAGCCCAGGAGCTGTGCGTGGGCTTGTTCCAGCGAAGCTTTGCGTCCCGGCGGTGGAGTGGGGATTTCACGTGATTTTCACACGCCACAAATCAGATCTTTGTTTGAGTTTTCCCCAACCCTTGATAGAAGGTGGAAGAGCACTGGCTCCAGCACAGAGGAGCGGGCCTGTGCGCTTCTCCCCGGGCCGCCTTTCGCCCTCTCTGCTCCCTGGGCCCTCCCGCAGGAAGGAGCCGGGCCTCGGGCACCCCTCCTCCGACCCAGCCTAGCATGGACATGGCGCATGCGAAACCACGCCGTCCAGTTATTCACGCCCCGGGTTCTGGGAGCAACTCACAACCAGGGCAGGAGGTGAGGGGTGGTGTTCAGCGGGGGTCACAGGCCTGCTGCCCCCTGTAGCGTGGTGGCCGCGAGCAGGTTTCCCTGTGGAAGGGAGAGCTCTTCCACTCTGACTCTTAAAACCCTCTAACTTCTTCACAGCCTTATGGGCACTATTGCAGGGCGTTTTGGTATAAAAGTACCTTCCTGAGGACATACGTGCTTCCTAAGTTGTGTTTGTCCACGGCAGCGGCTTCTGTGAAACACTGTGCGTGCAGGAGCCCCTGACGTGTCCGCCCTGGTCATCCAGGCCCCGCCCCGTCTTATGAGAATAAAATACCGATCTGCCCAGTGCCTCAGAGGCTGCAATGACTGCACAAACGTGTTATTGTAAAGGTTGCTTTAAACCAAACAAATAAGGAAAAACATTTACCACGTGAACCCGGGACGTGCTGGGATTTTAGCGGGTTCTCCCTCCTCGCCACTTGCCCAGCGCAGCCTTGGCGGAGTGGGGAGAAGGAAACTGTGATGTTTGCTGAACGCGGTGCCCAGTGGATTGCGGGCGCTTTGCTCAGCCGGGAGGTGTGTCACTCACCAACTGCAGGGGGCGCTGCTCACGTGCCAGTCGGGTGGGACCACCGGCCGAGGCCCTGCTTCAGGTCATCCTCACAGCGTGCGAAGGAGCGGGCCTCCCCCGTGTCTATTTATTTAGTTATTTATTTACTTACCCCGGTGTTTAAAAGAAGCCTCTTGGGCCTGGAAAGTTTTGTAAGTTGCGGGGGGAGCCCAGCCAGAGCCCAGCCTTGCGCCGGAAGGCCCGTCCCCACATCGGCCTTTGCTCTGCAGCCTCAGCCCGGAGCGTCGGCTTCGGCCCGGTCAGTGAGGGTGGGCCTGTGATGTCCGTGGCTCTCTTCTGTGGCACACAGACCCACATCGCAACCACCAAACACATGGCTTTAAAAGCCCTGTTAACCGAGCACTCGTGGCTTCTGTCCAGGAGACTAGAGATGGCATCCTGTCTGTCACATCCACTCACAACATCAGGTTGTTCTGACAGTATCACTTGTGTTAGGAAAATGCCGACAGTATCACTTGTGTTAGGAAAATGCCCTTTTTCCCTTTGAGATCTGCCCTCTTAGCGGTAGATGCTCACCTTAAACCTTTGCTGGGGCGGACGCTCGGTGTTCACTGTATGACAGACGTCAGCCGGCGGTCAGTGTCGGACTCTAAGCTGTAAAATGTTAACTCCGCCCAAACACCCTCCTCCACCTGCCGCTCCTTTTGTCTCGGTTTCCTCCGCCTCCTGGAATTCCTTCCTTCCCCCTGCGGCGCCATCTGCAGGTCACCCAGGCCGGGTGGGGACGGGAGCAGTAATTGGCTTTCCTGGCATCTAAAGGGTTTACTTTCAGATTACTTCAGACGTGTTCTCTTACCAGAAACTTCCATAGTATCTAGTGAAATGAGTCAAACAAGTTCCTCTTTAACCATAAATTTACTCTGCGAGACTTCACCATTCCTGGGGTATTGTAACTGTCTAGCGCGCTTTTTTTCAATATATTTGGTTGTAAATTCTCAAGGTAGTTGTAATGTTATGTGAAAGGGGCAGCTAAAATAATGGGGTGGGTGCAGCGTCATTAAACAGTAAACAGCAGTGAGATGCCCTGGTCTGAGTGAGAGGCCGCGGGGAGCTGGGCGTGCCGTGTCCTGGCCGCGCCTGGTGCTGACGGGCGGGCCTGGCCGGCACTGAGCGGTCCCGGTGCCGCGGCGCTCCGTGGAGAAGCACAGTTAGGCCAGTGATCTGAGTGAGGCGGTGTTTCCCTTAGGAAGGCGTTTGGCTGTAAGAGCTGAAAACAGCAGTGGCTGCAGCCAGCTTCCTTCTCTCTGAGGAAGGGACCAGAGGCACCGCCAGGGCGGGTCCAGGTCCGGATCCGCAGTCCTGGGCCCAGGCTCCTCCTCCTCGCAGTTCCGTCTCCTTTGGCCGCTGAGGGCCCTGATAGTGCTGGGGCTGCAGCCGCGCCCAGCCTGGGTCAGCGGGGAGGAGGGGCCCTGGCACTTCCCCCAGGGCCGCTGGCCAGCCGTGCTGCTCGGAAGTGGTGGGAGTCCGCGCGGGATGCTGGCAGGGTCTGCAGACGATGGTGTGACCTTGCACAGTGCGCATGTGTTAATGCCACTGAAGTGCACACTTAAAAACGCTCAAAATGGTAGTTTTAAGTTACGTGTATTTTACAACAAATAAACAAGCAGACATCGTTCCTCCGGGAGGGGAGCCGGGGGTGCGGCTCTTCCAGGGACAGCCTGCGCGCCAACGGCCGAGGTGCGTTCCTCTGAAAGGAGAGGCCGTTGTGCACGACCAGGGCCTTGGGAGCACTTGTCACGGCCAAGAACGTACAGAGCAGCGGCCACGGTGCGGGAGGGCGTGGGCGACTGCGGAGCGATGACGAGGGAAAGTGTGGGCTCACCCCGTTAAACTTTCACCAGGAGCCGCAGGACGCCAGGCCCTCCGTGTCTAACGCAGTTCTTGTCCTGCCAGTGGCGTCGCCAGAGCGTGGACGCGGGCCCACTTCGGGGAGGGGTCCGGCCCGGTGCTGCTGGACGAGGTGCGGTGCACGGGCAACGAGCTGGCCATCGAGGAGTGTCCGAGGGGCTCCTGGGGCGAGCACAACTGTGGCCACGGAGAGGACGCCGGCGTGTCCTGCACCCCCCTGACGGGTAGGCTTCCCGGCCCCGGCAGGTCCGGCCCAGCTCCTGTGGGCTGCTGTTTGCTTTGTCTCAACGTAGGCAGTCTTACTAACTGAGCATAAATAAACACGCCAACAAAACCTAACGGAAATGGTCTGCTAAAACGCTAGCCCCTTACTTATAGACATTGCTGAATTTTCACTGGAAGAGTCTACAGTGCAGCCCAGCTGGCGTGGCTCAGTGGCTGAGCATCGACCCATGAACCCAGAGGTCACGAGTTCGATTCTCAGTCAGGACACAGGCCTGGGTTGTGGGCTTGATCCCCAGTGTGGGGCGTGCGGGAGGCAGCCGATCGACGATGTTTCTCATCGATGTTTCTATCTCTCCCAATTCCTTCCCCTCTCTCTAAAAATCAATAAAAATATATTTAAAAAATAAAGGGTATACAGTCCTGTAAAGCTAGGTCAGAATAGATGATTTTGTTGCAAAATATGACTTTGTTTCATTATATACTAGTTGTCCCCCATAATGAAAATCGCGTGCAGTGGTAAAGGTCACATTTTAGGAATTAGACCTCTAGTCCATTCCTCTTTGAACCTGTATTGACTCTCAGAGTGTGTTTGCAGCTGGTGGAACTGCATGGTGGGGTCCTGAGTCCGCACCGGCAAAGCAACCAGGCCACCGTGGTGTGCTCCACCGTCAGACTGCGCCAGACCACAGCGCTGCCACCTGCCACGCCGCATGCCGGAGAAGGGCGTGCTGGAGGGCTGATGCCTGTGTGTGTGCGCATACATGTGTGCGCACGCATACACACACACGCGCGCACACACACACACACATGTACACACACACACGCACACACACACACGTACACACGCACTTACACGTCCTGGGGGCGGAAGAGGGACGTGCACACCAAGCGAAGGCAGGTCATCACAGAGCCACTGTGTCTATAGTAAAAAATTCGAAAACCTGGGGTTTTAAACTGTGTTTAAAAGAAATTTTTAAAAAACCTTAGGGCCTACGAAGTGCTGAAGTTATGGTTTTTCATGACCAAGGTCTGTGCACGCTGTTGTTTTCGTCAGCAGAACAACACGTTTACTAAGCACAGTAGGAGCACAGCGTTCTGCCGAGGCCGAGCCGGGGCGCCTGCCTGTCCGTGCAGCCAGCCTGTGGTGTGGCCGAGAGCCGCAGCGCTGGGCGGACTGTAGTGTTACACTAGGCCAGTGATGGCGAACCTTCTGAGCTCGGCGTGTCAGCATTTTGAAAAACCCTAACTTAACTCTGGTGCCGTGTCACATACAGAAATTTTTTGATCTTTGCAACCATAGTAAAACAAAGACGTATATTTTTGATATTTATTTTATATATTTAAATGCCATTTAACAAAGAAAAATCAACCAAAAAAATGAGTTCGCGTGTCACCTCTGACACGCGTGTCATAGGTTCGCCATCACTGCACTAGGTCCTTCTAAGAGACATGCTTGTGCTTTAAAAGATCCGAGATTCATGAAAAGTGTGACTTTTGCCCAAGATTATTTGTATGTTCCATTTGGGACAGTATTTGGATTATTTGGGGTGGCAATGGCTTTTAAGTCTACTTTCTGGGGATACATTTATCGTATTGTGAATCCGCTTAGAACGTAGTTACAGGGTTCTCTGGGAATTAACACTCGTTGAGTTCATAAGGTTCAAATTCAAATCTGCGTGATGAGGAGGCGCCCGGAGGCGCGCCCTGCGCCGGGTCTGAGGCTCACGGCGCCTGCGGCAGCCGGTGCATCGCCGGGAGCCTCCTCTCTGGCCACAGTCATGATCAGGCTCCATGTTTTAATTTTCCCCCTTGCAGCTGAAGTTTTCAGCTATTTCCAAGTTCCTATGTTTTCTTACTTTTCTTAATATATATTTTATTGATTTTTTACAGAGAGGAAGGGAGAGGGATAGAGAGTTAGAAACATCAATGAGAGAGAAACATTGATCAGCTGCCTCCTGCAAACCCCCCACTGGGGATGTGCCCGCAACCAAGGTACATGCCCTTGACTGGAATCGAACCCGGGACCCTTCAGTCTGCAGGCCGACGCTCTATCCACTGAGCCAGACCGGTTAGGGCTGTTTTCTTACTTTTGAAGCTTACATGACAAATACCTCATGTAAGCTCAGACCTCAGGCGATTGAAGCCTCAGGACATTTCCCAAATATTTAATCCAGAGAAACCCGAACAGCTACCATGTTTTCCTGCTCCGAGAGCGAGCGCGCAGATGAGCAGGGACGACGGGGATGCCTGTGTCCTGCTTGGAGACACCCAGCGGCCTCAGGGCCTGGAGTCAGAGAGACCTGCCCCTGGTGATGCTTCTGGTGACATGAGACGGTGTTTGCTCTTTTCTGAGAATTGTTTTGCTTATGTTTGTGTCTCCTCTCCTCACAGACGGCGTCCTCAGACTCGCAGGGGGGAAGGACAGCCACGAGGGCCGCCTGGAGGTGTACCACGGGGGGCAGTGGGGGACGGTCTGTGACGATGGCTGGACGGAGCTGAACGCGCACGTGGTGTGCCGGCAGCTGGGGTTCAGGTGAGGCCCGGTGACAGGCGGCCCGGCGGCCACGTCTGTTTAAGCCGATTGAAGTCCTTGCTCGTAACTCCCGCTCCAGGAACGCACTTCTCTCCTCGGCCCGCCCCCTGGGCCTGTACGTGCAGGTAGGAAATAGAAACAGGGACATTTTCCCTGCTGACAAATAGCCGTGTCTTGCTGTTTGTCTCCCTCACCTCCCTGCCGCAGCCTCTCCTGGAATGATGGCTTAGAGGCGGGCGGCTTCCTGTCCCGTGGCGTCTGTTCGAGTCGGCCGTGCGCTGTGGATGCCCGGTGTCACCTGCGCCCCCTGCGCGGATGCTGCCAGCTCTGACGTCACTGCCTCTCGTAGCAGAGCGCCCGCGCCTGGGCTCTGGGCTTCCCTTATTCCCTTTCTCAGAATGCGAGGACAGTGCCCACTTTCATCGAGAAAACAGCCTCCTTGTCATGAGGTGACCTTGGGAGCTCACCCTCGACCTCCCTGTAAAAGCTGGGGTCACACTTGGGCGACGTGCTTGGTGCCCCCCCACGATGCACTCCAGGGCAGGAGGCGGGAGTCCCGCAGACGGCGCCTCACCGAGCTCATGGGAGCCCGTTCTGTCCTCTTGTCTGGGTTCCTGTCGTGCTGAAATCTGGCGAAATCATTTCACTGCAGCTCAGGACAGAGCTAACTGCAAATATGCATTGAACTTAAAATATACTTTCGTTCAGGCCAGGCATGGCCACGGTGGAGACGTATTTTTTTTAATTTGTGAAAGTAATGTGAAATATTAGCAAGTTTGAAGAAGAAAATTAGAAGTGCCCATAATGTTCCCACTCCTATATCAGTGCAACCACACGTCATCAGCATAACTTGCATGTGTAACTTTATCATCGTTCTAGCAGCGGGCATGGGCTGTTTCCATCCATGTTTTCACCATTATTTTACTACATAGTCATAATTTTTATTTTTATTTTATTTTTTAAAAACGTATTTTATTGATTTTTCACAGAGAGGAAGGGAGAGGGATAGAGAGTTAGAAACATCAATGAGAGAGAAACATCGATCTGTGCCTGAAACCAAGGTACATGCCCTTAGCCGGAATCGAACCTGGGACCCTTGAGTCTGCAGGCCGACGCTCTATCCTCTGAGCCAAACCGATTAGGGCGTAGTCATAATTTTTAGTGACAGCATAGTTTCCACTGAATGTGTATGCCATGATTTGTTTAATATTTAGGTTCGTTTTTTCTGTTATAAATACTGTCATCGTACTATCAACACATGCTATTGCCCAATATTTTTGTGGGCACTATAGTTGTAATTATTGGGTTAAGGGGTATAACATACCAGCCAAATAAATAATGATATTTAATGAATGAAAAGTACTTAATAAATGTCATTTCATCTCCAAGGTGATTTGTTAGACTGAGGGCTAGATGTCGTTTTCATAGATTTAGAAAGATTCATAAAAACTTTATTTACTATTTTATATTTTTCTTTATTAGGGTAAACAATTGAGTGACACTGATTTTTTTCTCTATATTTCTTTAAAAAAATATATTCTTGCCGAAACCGGTTTGGCTCAGTGGATAGAGCATTGGCCTGCGGACTGAAGGGTCCCAGGTTCGATTCTGGTCAAGGGCATGTAACTGGGTTGCGGGCACATCCCCAGTGGGAGATGTGCAGGAGGCAGCTGATCGATGTTTCTCTCTCATCGATGTTTCTAACTCTCTATCTCTCTCCCTTCCTCTCTGTTAAAAATCAATAAAATATATTTTAAAAATATATATATTCTTATTGATTTTAGAGAGGGAGAGATAGAAACATCAATGATGAGAATCATTGATCTGCTGCCTCCTGCACGCCCCCTACTGGGGATCGAGCCCACAACATGGGCATGTCCCCTTGACCGTAATCGAACCCCAGACCTTTTAGTCTTAAGGCCGACGCTCTATCCACTGGGCAAAACCGGCTAGGGCTCCCCTTACTTTATTTATTTTATTTCACAAATCCATTTAGGTTGTTTTTGTTTTTGTTTTTTGCACCTACAGCGTTCTGAAATGTTCTCACTAGTATTTGTAAAAGTTCTGGATGACTGTTGGAATTGGCAGGTGTGCTCTGTATACCTGCAGTTGGCCTGGGAATCGTTGGAAGCAAATATTGGTCAGGGTCTGAGCAGTGTTGGGCCGGGGCTTCTCTGTGTACACGGGTCTGTGGTGTGGTTGCTGTGGACGGGGGGTGACCAGGTGGGCGCACCTGGTGGGAAAGTGGTGTCTGTGGACAGTGATAGTGAGTCGGCATTTAGGCCCGTTTCTTTCCTAGCCCAGCCTTGATGGGTCGGCCAATTAGGAGGTCTTAGAACGAGTCATTAAGAGTCTCATTTTTTCAGTTTGTTCGAATGCTGTTCTTGTTACGCACGTGCGATGACTAAGTGCACAGGGAGAGGATGAGGGGGATTCGAGCCACATGGAGAGGTGTCTTCATGCTCTCAGTACAGAAGTGACCACGTCCCTGTGTGAGTGAGTTTAATCACAGGGAATCGGGGCCGGGAGGCGCTTAGCCAGCTGCAGTCGGTGACTTCTGGCGGCCGGCGGTTTGCAGAGCGAGAGAAGGCTCTGGGGGAGGCGTGTGTGCTGGGGTCCAGCCCCAGCGGTCCAGGGATTCCCAAAGGTGAAGATCCACGGAGACTAAGGAAAGCTAGAGAGTTCTGAACACTGTCTCCGTGTAAAACTTTCTTCGCCGACTCCGTCCACACCTTTGGGAACCCCTGGACCGCTGGGGCTGGCCCCCAGCACGTGTGAGCGTGGCTGAGCTAGTCGCAGGTCCCGGTGCAGGAGCGTCCGTTAGAGCGTCAGGGCTCAGCGGTGCAGGGTCGCAGGTACAGTCAGCTGGAACGCAAGCGTCCTCCATAAAAACTGAAAAGATCAAGTTCCTGTGCCCTTGGGGAACATGGTCAGTGCCCTGATGTTGATGGACATGGAGCCGGGGGAGTCGCTGAGCTGCTCCCACCTTTCCTTCCGGGGGAGAGGAGACCAGAGAGGCCGGCACAGCTGATGGGACCCAGGAGCGCAGAGGCTGGTCAGAGGCCCACGTGCGGCCGGCGGTCTCGGCTCCGGGCCCAGTGCTCTGCCTGGCCAGGAACCCGAGGGTTAGCTCTTGGTCTGCGTTCTCTCAGCTGGAGGGTTAAAGGGCAGACCAAACCCAAGAATAGGCAGGGAGGAAGGTGGTGGTCCGTTAGCTGCACCGCGTAAGCCAGCGCCAGCACGAGGGTGGGATGTGTGAGGCGCGGACAGTGCTCTGTATGGAGTTGTCTGGAGCCGTGTCCTGGGGTCAGGACTCCTGGCCGGCTGCTGGCTTCTGGGGGGGGGGGGGGGGCCGCGGGCGAATCCCTCCACGTGTGTGTCTCGCTGTGCAGGTACGGCAAGCAGGCGCCCGCCAGCCCCTTCGGGGAGAGCGCCGGGCCCATCTGGCTGGACGAGGTCAGCTGCTCCGGGCGGGAGACCAGCCTCCTGCAGTGCTCCCGGCCCCCGTGGGGGCGCCACGACTGCAGCCACCGCGAGGACGTGGGCGTGGCCTGTGCCCCACGCGGCGAGGGACACCGGCCGTCTCTGGGTGAGGACACAGCCGCTGCGCCGCTGTCTGTCCCAGGCCGCGTCCTCGCTGGACCTTTCACTCTGTCTCCTGCATGTTCTCATGGTCAGTCATTTCCATTTAAATCTTCTTTCTGAGTCTTCCCACCAACATTGTCAAATGCCTGCTCCTCAGTTACGTTCCTTTACCCAGAGCCACGTCTCCTCCTAAATGTGTGCGGCCATGACCTCCGAGAGAGGGAGGAGCGAGGCCGCCGCGCCCCCTCTCCTGCCGGGGTCACAGAAGCGCCGATGACCAGTGCTTCTCACTCTTAACCGCGGGCTGCGCCGGCCCCTTGGCGTCCTCCTCCCTGAGACGGGGAAGCTTGAGCTTCATGCTGTAAAAAGGCAGGACTGTGGTTCCGGGTTCACCGTGTTGGGCACTTAGGTGGTCAAGGTGCACGGCTTTGCCTCGTTGGACCTAACGGTGCAATCCTGGGCCCCCCTGCCCCTCCGGGTCCGGCAGGGGCGGCGCCCTCAGAGCCCATGTTCCAGGTGTCTCTGTCCTCTGTTCCCCGCTCACTCCCTTCTGCGCACGGGGGCTGCTGTCTCCCAGGCTCGGCGCTCTTCTCAGCCACGGGCCCGCGTGTCTGTTTATGCTCCTGAAGGTCTTAGCGTGGCTGTTCCAGGTGAGCGAACAGGCACGAAATAACCCAGCTCCAAGTGAATGTCTTACTACTTACTAGTGGAAGTTAGTGGTAATAAAATCAGGCGCGACTTTATTTTATTATTTTATTTTTTAAATATATATATTTATATTGATTTCAGAGAGGAAGGGTTAGATAGAAGCATCCATGATGAGAGAGAAGCCTGGTTCGGCTGCCTCCTCACACTGGGGATCGAGCCCGCAACCCAGGCGTGTACCCGGACCAGGAATCAAACCGTGACCTCCTGGTTCCTAGGTTGGCACTCAACCACTGAGCCACACTTTTACAGTCTCCCCCCCTCCCTCCCTCCCTCCCTCCCTCCTTCCCCAGCAGCTGGCGCCTGCCCTCCCTCTGCTGGCCACAGAGCTGAGCAGTGGCCTCCCAGCTTCACAAGATCAGGCCAAAGCGGAGAGTTTTTGTTGTCCCTTCTCTCTCTCCATTGCCCAGCGACTCAGAGCTGGTTTTAAAAACAAGTTGACTTGGCTCAGTGGATAGAACATCAGCCTGCGGACTGAAGGGTCCCAGGTTCGATTCCGGCCAAGGGCACATTCCTGGGTTGCAGCTTGATCCCCAGTGGGGGGTGTGCAGGAGGCAGCCGATCAATGATTCTCTCTCATCATTGATGTTTCTATCTCTCTCTCCTTCTCTCTTCCTCTCTGAAATCAATACAGAAATACATTTAAAAAAAAAAGAGAGAACAAGTTGTGTTTGGGGAAGTCTCCTGCATCTGTTCCACTTGCGTGTTTGGCTTCCTAATACTTTCGGATCATGCCCTAGGTTTCCCCATCAGACTGGTGGACGGAGAAAATGAGAGAGAGGGGCGCGTGGAGGTTTTCCTCCAGGGCCAGTGGGGAACCATCTGTGACGACGGCTGGACTGACCGGGACGCGGCTGTGACCTGCCGGCAGCTCGGCTACAGGTAAGGGAGCCTGATTGCTCGGCTGGGTACTTCAGGGACACTTCTGAGTCTTTAAAGCCTAGTTCCAGTGAGTTATTTCTTGAAAATTAATTTACGTGATCTCATTCAGAATTGTAAAGAATACTAAGTAGAGTGTTTAAAATTTTCTGTCTTCTCACAAGAGACATACAATATGTCACATACACATGTAGCTTTTATTTAATAACAAATCTCTACAATATGTCACATACACATGTAGCTTTTATTTAATAACAAATCTCTAGATATAAAAGCCTAATATGCAAAGTGTCTCCTTGGGAGTTCAACCAACCTGACACGAGTTCAATCGCTCACTATGACGTGTGCTGAGGCCCCAGCTGGCAGCCTGCAGCCACTAGAGACCCTACCTGTGCACAAATTTCGTGCGCTGGGCCTCTAGTCGTGTGATAACTCTTGACTCCATATACTGCTCTGCCAGCAGGGGCTAAGCTAGCCCATCCTGCTTGGTGTCTGTCTCGTGCAATCGCCGTGAGAGGCTGTGGAGTTATGAGAGTGAGTGGCTCTCAGTGTACAGGGCAGTGACGCTCTGTAAACTCATGGACAGCGAGCCCTGTGCTTCTGAAGTAAGGCCTTCGTCCGGCTCCTGGGCTTGCAGATGGCCAGCCTGGGCCGTCTCCAGCTGCCCCTTGTCTTTGCCTTCCCTGTGCTGTCTCTGTGGACGTGTTTACTGCCTCGATGGCCCACGCTGATGCCTAGCTCTCCAGAGTGCAGGGGCTGTGTGCGTGTGCGGGGGCGTCCACGGGCTCCCAGGCTCCCAGGCTCCGCTCAGCCCCAGTCCCAGCGATCACACGGCCCTCACCAGCCGGCAGGAGGACGCTGGTGCCCACTATGAGAGCGGACACGGGGGGGGCAGGGTCCCCGCCTTTGGCCTCCCCCAGCCATGCAGGGGTTTGAGGCTTCGTGCAGGTATACAGTGAGCGTGCAAATGTTGGGAACGTGTTCCGCGTAGAGAGCTGGGACGTTTCAGCTAATGCGCACACACTGCCCAGCTCGTAGTGGGTTACGAATAGTGGTTTGGATTTTAAGCTGTACCCTTTTTTATACATCTGGATACATTTTCATTTTTAAAAGTGTTTCTATTTTATTTACTTGTTTTGTTAATCCTCACCGGAGGATATTTTTCCCATTGTTTTCTCAGAGAGAGTGGAAGGGAGGGAGGCAGGGAGAGAGAGAAACATGGATGTGAGAGAGACACATGGATTGGTTGCCTCCTGCATGAGCTCCGACCAGGGTCAGGGATCGAACCATCAACCCAGGTACATGCCCTTGACCAGAAACAAGCCCTCCACCCTTTGGTGGGTAGGCCGACGCTCTAACCACTGAGCCATGCTAGCTAGGACTACATTATTTCTATTTTAATTAAAATTAAAAAATATTTTTCTAATGTTTTAATTCAAAGTTTGTTTTCTGTTACTCAGGTATTACTTTCAGTTACCGCTCAGTTTTGGACCTAGTTACAATTCCAGTTGCCCGCTGACCAGTGAGTGCATTATTGGTGATCACATGTTCAGTGTCCGCAATTGGCATATGACGTGGATTTCCAGCTTTGAAACTGTAGGCCGTAGAGGCAGGCAGGCAGGACGAGCCTCCCTCAGATGCCCACATGCACTTAGTCAGTGATTTCTTTTATTTCCTTTATCACACATTTCTAACACTCCTTCCTCCATTTGAACATGAACACACACACACATACACACATACACACACACACACACACATAATTGTTCTTCCATTACCTTCCCAGGGAATTTCCTTATTTAAAATCAGCCATTAAAGAACATTGCTGTTTGAGACTGTTTTATTGTTCATACTTTAGTTTTCCTTTTTTTCTTCCTTTTCTAAAAAAAAAAAAAATTTGATTATTAGAGAGGAAGGGAGAGGGAGAGAGAGAGAAACATGGATGTGAGAGTGAAATATCAGTCAGTTGCCTCCTGTACGCCCTCCACCGGGGATCGAGCTGGTAACCTGTGCTTGTGTCCTGACTGGGAATGGAACTGCGACCTCTACGTGCACAGGATGATGCCCAACCACTGAGCCACACTGGCTAGGGCCATACTTTAGTTTTTCTGTAGACACGATCCAGGAAATCTCATAGTATGTTTGAAATATGCAGGGAAAGGCCAAGTTTGATCCTCACATGTGTTGGAGCCACAGTTAAGGAAGGAAGAAGTCCCTATGCACACCCATCATGCATTTTCACTTCCATCTGCGTTTGTCATTGCTTTTTACTTACCATCACTTAGTCATTCTATGTTCAACTCTAATGGTGAACTGAAGTGAGAAATAGTCCAGATTAATGAACACTAATGAACGTCTGCAGCACTTTTCCATAGTGTTTCTGTAACAATGATCAAGAAAAGCATTGAAAGAATATTTTACTTTGTAATTGTCTTTTTAATAAAGTCCCTTAGTAAGTAAAAGAGTAATTTAATGTTCCTATATAACAAATTGGATAATCCCCTTCTGGTGCATAATCCACACTTTCCCATCAAATAGTATTTAAATGAGAATCATTTAGATATTTGCTCTGTGAATGCACTTGGGCGTTTTAATACCTTCCCACTAGGAAGTGGGGTTTCCTGGGAGAACACGCACAGAATGGTGAACGGGTTGTGACTAGAGCAGGGGTCGTCTCCCTGTTTGAATTGTTAAAAGTCTCCAGGAAAGCCTTCGTTTGTAGACACCAATCAAGAGAACCTTACGGCTGCTAAGGCTTGGGCCTGCTTGGTAAGAAGTCCGGAGGCCCGTTCCGAGCCAGCTCTGTGCTAGTGGAGGGTGGGTCCGTGGAAACACTGAGAGTCCAAATAGCATTAAAATGCACTTCCTTCATGGGAGAGACAGAACCGAAGTGATGGACCAGGAAAGGTGGTGGTACCTCACCTCGACGTGCTGACCGTCACCAGCAAGCCAGCCGCCTTAGTCCCTGAGGGGTCACGTGATGTCTGGAGGCCCAGCACATGGCACACGGTCTCCGAGGCTGAGAGAGATGTGCTGACGTCCGCTCACTCGCCAAGGTGGACTGAACAGCCCGAGGCAGAAGGACGTCAGTCCCCTTTGAACTTCCTGCCAGTCCCTTAGCGTCAGCCTCCAGGTGGCATTCTTCCGGAACTGCACGATTATTCGCGCCGTCTCCCTTCACACAACTTAGAATCTGTGGGCCTTTGCTGTTTAGGCAGAGACCCAACCTCAAGTACATCCAGTGTAGGTGTGTGCTCCCAGACCGTGTGCGTGCACACCCTCCTGCAGGAGGAGAGCTGTTTGTCTTGCAAAAAAAAAAAAAAAAAAAGTATATCTAATTGTGTCTCACTCCTCAGTAGCTGCAAAGGGTTTCAGGTCTGGCGTATTTGTACATGACATTTAAAAATAGAGCAGTCACATCCCTCTTTAATCGCATCCAATGAAATATAAATATCACAGGGAGTGACATTTCTGTCACTGAGTTTAAAAATACACGAGCAAGCTCTTCTTTGACCTTCACAAATTTTACATAGCTTGTTTTTCTCCTTGAAATTGTCATTTAAATTGCTTTCCCCACAGAATTCATTATGCTTTAAAAACTGTGTGTGTACTTATACACACACACACACACACAGTGCAAGAAAGAGAAATCAAAATCTTCTAACAGGTTCCTCTCTGGATTTTTAAATTTCTAGTGCACAACTGATTAAAACAACAAATAATTATTAAACATAGGAGATAAGAGTTGACTCAAGCCCCCACTTAATTAGACCCGTGGATTGGCTTTGTGGTGCTTGTACTAAGGAAGGGATTGCATCTGTTTGGCCACGTTAGAGGCTTAAGTCTTGGAGGAATGTGCTACGGTCGGATTCTGGACGGTGAAAGGTATGCCTTTCTCTTGTGAGGGGGAGAGGGGACTTTTTGAAAGAGAAGTTCGTCTTGATTTCAGCAAGACCAGCTTTTAGGGAGACTAAACATGAATTTGAGGATCTGAATATCGATTCCCGCAAAGCCCCGACACCCAGGTTAAGGGTGAATGTTAGAGCCTCCTGTCTCCTTGAAGTTCCCTCTGTGCGTCACTGCCACCCCGCCTGGGGGTGTGGGGGGTGGAGTCTCTTCTCTTTTTCCTACAGATGACACAGTCCTTATTTATTAAACAAACGTCAGCCAGGCAGGGCACATGCACGGGCTGTGGGCTCGTTCCCTGTGTGGGGCGTGCAGGAGGCAGCCGATCCATGGTTCTCTCATCATTGATGTTTCCATCTCTCCCTCTCCCTTCCTCTCTGAAATCAATAAAAATATATTTAAAAATAAATAAATAAAAATCAAAGAAAAATGTATTCGATTTCACTGTATCATTGAGAATGTCTTCATTTAATCATGCACTTTTATTAGTAAAAATGTTCTCTAATTCCTACTTGTTGAATGCTGCATTCTTTTTTTAAAAAATATATTTTATTGATATTTTGCAGAGAGGAAGGGAGAGGGATAGAGAGTTAGAAACATCGATGAGAGAGAAACATCGATCAGCTGCCTTCTGCACATCCCGCTACTGGGGATGTGCCCTCAACCAAGGTACATGCCCTTGACTGGAATCGAACCCGGGACCCTTGAGTCCACAGGCCGACGCTCTATCCACTGAGCCAAACCGGTTAGGGCTGCTGCATTCTTTTTAGTCTGCAAGTTGATTGATAAATTATTAACCAATTACCCTTTTGTTTTATTGCGTGAGTCCTAACTTCATTTGCTACCTATTTGGTTTTACTTGCCACATTTATGCTAATGCCATGCATTACTGTCTCTCTGTACCCTTCTGCCTTTTATTTGCAGGCAATCCAATTTTCTATTTTTTTTCTCTAATGCACTGAAGTTCAGCATTCTTACTGTTTTACTACAGGTTCTCTAAATTTTTAGCAAACATACTGCCATGTTTTCTTACCCATTTCAAAAATTATTATCTGTACCTTCTGCTTCCTGAAAAATATCAAGATGTGTAGCACCCTGTTATATACTTTCTGCCTCCACTCATCCTCACTCCTCAAACGCTTGAGAATCATCTGTGATACTAGTTCCTGCCTGCTGTTAATTGTTCAATTTCAGGTTATGCCTATTGGAATTTCAAATGGCTGCACATTGCACATCCACATCAACAATTAGTTTCTCTCTCTCTCTTTTAGTTTAATTTTTAAAAAGGTTACTAAGCAACAGCTTCTCACGATTCTGACCGAGAAGGGAGGAGATGTAGTAAACAGTAGAGATGAGAAAAGGGATATAAACCCAGAGGCACAGAAAGGCTAACAATTGCAGGATACTGTGAACTACTTTTAGCAAATACATCTGGAAATGTACACAATATGGACAGTTACCTAGGGAGCTACATTTTCAACAAAAATATTATCAAAGTTGAAGCAGCAGATGGGAACCACACGGATGACTTGCCCTGAGAGACATGACTCTGATCCGCTACTGGAGGGTTGACTGTCTTCAAGACAGAGGGTCCCAAGTCCCGGAAATGGTTGCAGACCAAGAAATAAAAATGAAAAAAACCAACAGAAACAGACAAATATTTCCATCCATTTGATGAGACTACTATGACTTGCTTTCAAGACAAAGTGCACAAAGACAAAGAAAATCATAACCCAGTCTCATGGATTTACATAAAAAATTCTACACAAGATATTAGCAGGTTTAACCCAACAGCGTAAAAGAGCAGCTTAGCACAAACAGCTGGGATCTGCTGAAGAATATGAGTGGTTAGAGCTGAGGCGTTCAGTTAATGTGCTTGAGTTGTCTATAAATAAAAATAAATCTGATCATCTTAATGTTGAAAAGTTATTAAAATCAGTAATACTTATATTGCTTAGGAACGTGAGAATAAAATAAAACCACCTTAATTTTATGTCATGAACACGCATCAAATAGGAACAGGACAAGGGTGCCTGCTACAATGGCCACGACTCAGGAAGTCGTGAGGTACCGGCCCAGCCGGCGTGGCTCAGTGGCTGAGCGTCCACCGTGCACCAGGAGGTCGCAGTTCCATTCTGGGTCAGGGCACATGCCCAGGGTGCAGGCTCAATCCCCAATAGGGGGATGCAGGAGGCAGCCAATCAGTGTTTCTCTCTCATCGATATTTTCTTTCTTTTTTTAATCCTCACCCAGGGATATTTTTCCATTGATTTTTAGAGAGGAGAAGGGAGAGGGAGAGACAAGAGAGAGACACATCAATGTGAGAGAGACATCGATTGGTTGCCTCCTGCACAGCTCTGCGACCAGGGCCAGGGATGGAGCCTGCAACGGAGACATATGCCTTTGATCCAAATCGAGCCTGGGACCCTTCAGTCTCCGGGCCGACACTCTATCCACCTAGCCAAACCAGCTAGGGCTCTCATTGATTTTTTTTAAAATATTTATTTATTTTAAATTTCAAAGAGGAAAGGGACAGAGAGATAGAAACATCAGTGATGAGAGAGAATCATTGATTGGCTTCCACCTGCACGCCCCCTACTGGGGATTGAGCCCGCAACCTGGGCATGTGCCCTTGACCAGAATCGAACCTGGGACTCTCCAGTCCGCAGGCCGACGCTCTATCCACTAAGCCAAACCAGCTAGGGCTCTCATTGATATTTTTATCTGTCCCCCTTCCTCTCTCTTGTTCATATTTTTAAAAATAGAATTGAAGTATCAGTATTGAAAAGGACTTCAGAACTGTAATATAAATAACTAGAGGCCTGGTGCATGAATTTGTGCACAGGTGGGGTCCCTCTGGGTGGCCTGCAGGGATCGGGCCAAAACCCACAGTCCAACGCTGCCTTCACCTCCTACCCACTGTTCTCGCTCATCCCGGCCCCACTGTGCCTGCCGCGGGCTTGTGTCCAATTAGTCCTGATCGGGAGAGGCTCACACTGCAGCAGCGCCCACCAGCCATGAGCCCTGCGTCTGGCGCCCTCCCAAGGGGAGTGGCCTGCGGGATCGGGCTGAAACCATCTCTCCAACATTCCCCAAGGGGTCCCGGACTGCGGGAAGGCGCAGGCCAGGCTGAGGGACCCCACCAGTGCATGGTCAGGCCAGGGAGGGGCTGTGGGAGCGCTCTAGGGAGGGACCCCACCAGTGCATGGTCAGGCCAGGGAGGGACTGTGGGAGCGCTCTAGGGAGTGTCCGGCCCATCTGCCCCCTGGTGGTCAGTGCATATCATAGCGACTGGTCGACCGGTCGACTGTCTGCCCCCGGTGGTCAGTGCATATCATAGCGAGCGGTTGAGCAGCCTTAGCATATCATTAGCATATTATGCGTTGATTGGTTGAACAGACAACTGGATGACTGGACACTTAGCATATTAGGCTTTTATTATATAGGATGATTGTCCGCCTAGAAAACCCAAGAGAATCAACTGGAAAGACAGTAGAACTCGTGTTCATTAATGTAAATTATAAATATTTTTAAAAGCATTAATGTTCCTATAGGTTAGGTAGAAAATGAAAAGAAAAAAAAAATCTCCTTTATAGAAGGTACAAAAACAAACAAAAATCTAGGAATACACTTGGCAATCATTGAGACCGATGTGAAAAAAACTAGGTCTATACTGTAGGTAGAAGACCCAATAAATGATCCATCACAACCCTAATGGGAAGACAAAGGAGAAACGCATCTGTACATGAAAGCTGTCCTCATAAAATCTTGTTTCTTGGTGTGGGGAGCAGGGAGGGGCTTGATTTCCAGATTCAACTGGGAGGAAAGCCCTGGGCCGCGGGCACAGGCACAGAGCCAGCGACACCCCCGGCAGCAGCGGCATTGGCCTCGGCCGTCCCCTTAAGTCACGGGGGACGTAGAGACCCTGCCCAGGCCTGGCCCCACCCACGGCTCTCCTTTCATGCGGTCAGGTGGGGCTCGGGTTTTGCTAAATTTTAGTTTTTTTCATTTACAGTTTGCATTCAGTGTGATTTTGTGTGAGTTTCGAGTGTACAGCATGGTGGTGAGACAGTCCTCCACTTCATAACCGGCCCGCCCCGGGCTGGTTATGGGTTTGGCTGCATTTTAATTTTAAAAGCTCCTGAAGGTCGTTCTAAGGCGCTGCCACGGGGGAGTCACTGAGCTCTGAAGACCAGGCAGTGGCTTCGGTCCTGGGAGCTGATAGGCAAGGAGGTGAGGAAGCCTTCACACGGCAGCAGTCAGTTCCTGGGACGGTCACTTCGGGCTAGAGTGAAGCTGACCCCGTGCGCCCACTAAGCAGGACACCCTCCGGGCGGAGGGACCCGGTGACACAGCGAGAGAGGCTGTGCCCTCAGCTCGCCCACTGCAGCTGCCCACGGGGATGGCCCGGCCAGTGGTGACGCAGGCCCCGAGGCGATGCTGCTCTGGCCCCGGCCGGTGGGCGCCCTCAGGCCCGGTGCTGTCTTGCAGGGGCCCCGCCAGGGCGCGGGCCATGGCGTACTTCGGGGAAGGACGGGGGCCCATCCACCTGGACAACGTGGCGTGCACGGGCGGCGAGCGGGCCCTGGCCGACTGCCTCAAACAGGAGATCGGCCGGCACAACTGCCGCCACAGTGAAGACGCGGGCGTGATTTGTGATTATTTTGGCAAGAAAGCGCCAGGCGACGGAGATAAAGGTAAGGCCCCTTCTGGCCCCTGCACCCCCACAGCCAAACCCCACGCCCAGGAATGCCGGCCGCACCAGGCTGCTGGAGGGGCAGGAGGCAGCGACCCCTCCCAGTCGGTGGTGTCCCGAAAGCCCGAGTTGACCTTTACTTCCTAAAAGGAAATTAAAATCTGAAGAGGAATGTCAGGAAGGCACTGCTATGCATCCTGATATTTAAAACAACAGGGATTGTTTCTTAAATAGAAGAATAAATTATTTCTTGTAGGTTTTATTTTGTGAAATTAAAAATGTCAGGAAAAGGAGAAAGAGTCTTTTCACAGGAGACAGGCACCGATGTGTTGTGCTTAAATAGAAGGTTCTTGAAAGCTCCGAGTGTAACTTTATGAAACAAGTACTGCGTTAGCCAGTTCACTGCCACACGTCCGAACGGAGGCCACGCTTATGGCGCACACGGGGTGAGGGAGCGAGCGGAGCACTAGCTGTTTCGGAGGAAACTGGCCCTGTTTCATGGAAAGAACAATCACCCTTTATTGACGTGGACTAAAGGTCACAGTCGTGACGTGTTGGATTTTGTCCAAAGCGGTGCATCAACCCTTGGACTTTCTCCTCTAACGTCTTTTCATAGCGTCCCGGGAGCAGACAGTGAATACGCTGGGTCTTGTTCATGTGGTTCTTCGCTCTCTGAGGGGCTTTTGAAAGTAGAGAAACATTTACAACCCTCTGTGCTCAGAGACACATGCATTTATATACGTGACAAATACGAGCTGGCAAGCCAGTTCTTCCTAGGTATTGGTTATAACTTATTTTATTAAACTCCCTTCAGTAATCCAACCTCCAGTTACAAGTTGAATATAACTAATATAACATCCTGTCAATTATTCCTTAAGCAAAAGACAAACACAAAAACCTAATAATTGTAAAATGTTTTACTATAGTCCCACGTAAACCTATTTTAAAGTATGACAGATTTATTTCTCCATGATTTATGCATTTGTTCTTATGCCTTCTTAGAGTTAATCCTCACCCGAGGATATTTTCCCATTGATTTTTAGAGAGAGTAGAAGGGAGAGAGAGAGAAACATCGATGTGAGAGAGACACATGGATTGGTTGCCTCCCACATGCGCCCAGACCTGGGGCCAGGATTGAGCCTGCCCGCCAGGTACGCGCCCTTGGCTAGAATTGAACCTGGGGCCCTTCGGTCCATGGGCTGATGCATTATCTACTGAGCCATACCAGCCAGGACAGGCCTTGCTAGAGTTGCAGCAACGTTTATTTTGATACATTTCCAAGGTCCCAGTGCTACTACTGTACGTCAGATAAAAAGGTTTTTATGTCAGACCCCCCCCCCGCCCCCAAATTGTAGAGTCTGGCTCACTCACCTGTTGCTTCCATGTTGAGGCTCGAGACCTAGTGACCGACTGCTAGAAGGTGATTCAGACTTCAGCGGTTGGTCATCCGAGGGGATCCCTTTATAAATGAGCTTCATTTTGCCTGTTAAGCGCTGTAATGGTGGACTTGGTGGCCCTCGATAGACTTTCCTTCCTTGCAAGCTGGTGCTCCGCCCAGAACGAGGTCAACACCAGCCCCGCCGGCTCAGCATACCTCGTCCCCGCTTGGCGGCCTCCCGCTGGCCTGGCTCGGAGGGTTCCTGCAAACGTCTCTTCTCCCAGGTCTCCCAGTGGGCAGTGCCAGTGAGCGGCCTGGCGTCCTGCGGTGAGGACCCAGCCTGCACAGGAGCTCATGGGGCACTCCGTCCTCCGGGGACCTCGGGGGACCTCCTCCATGGGACAGGCTAGTGCTGGCTTCCTGCTGGGCCGCCCTCTGCTGGTCACCCAGACAACCACTGGTGCTGCCAGGGCTCCAGGTTCTCACCCAGATAGACAAACGGTCTCTACCTACCCTTTCTTCACGTGTCCTTCCCCAGAGAGCAGAATGCTCGCCTGTCAGTTCTACCTTCTGAAACATGGAAACATTAGCCACACCTTAGATTTCATCCGCTTTTGCACACCACTTATATATTTTTAATTTGGCTCTTTTGTTCATGCTCTTGCTGTGAAGGTTGTTATCTTGGAAGTGTGATTACATACAGGTTGCCAGCCCAGCCAGAGTGGCTCAGTAGTTGAGCGTCAACCTATGAACCAGGAGGTCGCAGTTGATTCCCAGTCAGGGCACGTGCCTGGGTTGTGGGCTCAATCCCCATAGGGGTGCGTGCAGGAGGCCGCTGATCCATGATTCTCTCTCATCATTGATATTTCTCTCTCTCTCTCTCTCCCTCCCTCTCCCTTCCTCTCTGAAATCAATAAAAACATTTTTAAAAAATTATTTAAAAAGTGCTTACAGCTCTTCTTGAATTTGTCTAGCACAGTGGTCGGCAAACTGCGGCCCCTTGAGTGTGGCTCTTCCACAAAACACCACGTGCGGGCGCGCACATACAGTGCGATTGAAACTTCGTGGCCACTGTGGATGCACTCAAGGGACCAAAGAGCCGCATGTGGCTCGCGAGTCGCAGTTTGCCGACCACTGGTCTAGCAGGTCTTCTGGTTTTTATTGGAAGGCCCTAAAGAAATAAATAAGTAAACACAGTTTGCCACCAGAAGGGGCGCAGTAAGCCCTTTCGATATGTGAATGTGGGAGTCGGTGTGCCTTTGGGCCAGATGCCCTCTGAGGGTGGCATGTGCACACGGGGTTGGCAGAGGGCTGTGAGAAGCAATGACGAGACCACTGTGCCCTTTGGTTAACGTTCCCGAAGCTCTAACAGCCTCTGGCCAGCAGAGGAGGCGGTGTGGGTGCTGACGGGTCACATCTGGACGGGGAGCCAGTGCCCCGCCTGCTGTGAGTGGCGCTGCCTCAGGACAGGCAGCCTTTGGCGCCCGTGGAAAGCAGCCTGTGGTTGGAGGCATTTGAATCGGCAGGAGCAGCGGGGCCGTGTGGCTGTTCCCGCCTCGGCCTGAGAGTCATTCCTCCCCTCTCCGCCCAGCGCCCGTCCCGCCCGGCTGTGGGCTCCGACCGCTGCACCGGCGGCAGAAGCGCATCGTTGGCGGGAAGAACTCCCTGAGGTACAGGCTCGGGCAGACTCCAGGGCAGAGGGCTGGGATGCACTCGGGTACAAACGGGGGGCGTGCTGGCCTCGTGGTGTTTTCCCATCACCCCGGCCACGCTCAGCCTCCGGGCCTGTGCGGGTTCTCGCAGGGCGGTCCTGCTTCTGGGCTGCTGAGCGCTCGAGGCTGAAACCCAGAAACCGGCTTCCCCCCAGACCTGGGGGCGCCGCTGTGGATGCAGAATTCACGGAGTTCAGCGCCTGCTCCTCTGGACTTGCCCCCTGTCCACCCGTTACTTCGCTGCTGGATTTACTAAGGGAAAACCAGCGCTGTGCCCAGTGGATGCTCTTCAGGCTGCTTGGGGGGGGGGGGGGTGTGAGGAGGGGAGGACGTCTCATCCCAAGGCCCAGAGGAGGGGCTGGCTTCTGGAAGGGGGTGCCGAGGTGCCCGTCTGCAGGGCGGGGGGCCCGTTCCCACGGCAGGGGGATCTTTCATCCGGGTCCTTCGATGCCCCCAAGCCCGCCCGTCATGTCCTAAGGACGCGCCCCTGCCTCTCCGGACCGTGATGGCCGCCTGCTTTCTTGCAGGGGCGGCTGGCCCTGGCAGGTGTCGCTGCGCCTCAGGTCCCCCCGAGGGGACGGCCGGCTCCTCTGCGGGGCCACCCTGCTGAGCAGCTGCTGGGTGCTGACGGCCGCGCACTGCTTCAAGAGGTACGTCCCCCCAGACGGCCCAGCGTGGCTCCCCGGCCCTCCTGCCCCTCCTCCCCCAGCACCGGGGCAGGGCCAGGTCTGTGCCGGCACTGGGGCTCCTTGGCAGCGAGGGAGGGGCACAGGCGTGGAGGATCCTCAGGGAGCCCCCTGCTGCCCTGGGGTTAGAGCAAAGCCTAGACTCGGGGGAACAGAAGATGGTGTCGGGGAGGCGGCCATGGCAGAGCTTCCCGAGAACATGGCCGAGGTGACACGGTGCCTGAGAGCGGGCGGAGACCCCTGGTTCTGTGGTTAGGAAGGCGGGGAGGGGGCAGGCTCGGTTCTGGTCCTTTGGGTCCTGTGCTTGTGTGTTTTAGTTTCTCTGTTTGTACCTTCTGGAGAGTCAGGTGGCAAACTGATCATTTCCTCCTGTCACACGTTTTCCGTTCCGGCTGAAGTCTCCCAGTTCAGAGGCACCCTCCCCCCCCCCCCCCACACACACACAGGAAGTCAGGGAGTAGCGTCCCAGTGCTCAGGGGGGTCTGCTCTGCAGCCCGCTGGCCTTCCCCTTCCCCCCTGTCCCTGCTCCGGGTCACAGCCCGCCCCCCTTCCCCCCTGTCCCTGCTTGGGGTCCCGCTCATGGCCATTTCCCAGCCCGAACTTGGCACGTGCTGGGAATGACTGAAGCAGGTGATGAGGGCGGAGTCCCACTATGCGCTCCTCATCCTGTGCGTTTGAAAGTGCCCCTAACCACACTTTAACTAAACTGGGCGCCATGTTGTGAAGAAGTTCCCCCAAGCAAACCTTCGATGTCTGTGTTCCCACGAGCTGTGCTGTGGCCTCCTGTGGACCTGCATCCATCCGTGGGGACCGCTCGCTGCAGCGGGTTCAGCTCCTGCGTGACACGAACGCAGTTGCCGTGTCCCCCTGCGGCGGCTGGCGGGGTGGCTTCCGCGGGCGCGGGGCTGCGGTGGACACGCTGCCCGTTTCACCGGGACACGCGGCAGGCTGGCCGGTCCTGGGCCGGGGCGTCTTTCCCTCGAGAGGTCTCCTGCTGCGCCCGGGCTCCGCGGAGTCAGGGCCGGAGGTGCTGGTGATGACACAGGGACGTGGCCGCTCCTCACCCGCCTCCGCGTGACGCCGTCAGCATTTCCAATTCCGCCTTCCCCGGGGTTTGGGATTTTGAAATACCCATGTGCCTGATGAGCGTTGTCTTCTTTCATGATTCTTGTTTCTGTCCTTTGCCTGCTCTTCTGTTGGATTATCTCTTGTCATTGCTGAACTGCGTGGGGGTTTGCCTCGCGGAGCCTGGTCTTCGGCCGCGCAGTGAGGGCGGGACGGTCCACGGCGAGGGGCAGTGGCTGCGCGTGGGAGGCTTCTATACACCGAGCAGCTCAGAACGGCGCTGGCTGGGAGGGGTCGGGGTTCGAGAAGGGGACTCAGAGATGATCGTTAGTGGAGTGGGGGATCCGGTGGCCTTGCTCTATGAGTGGAGGAGGGGGTGGCGCTGGGGACCAGAGAAGCCGCGGGCGGAGTCAGCAAACACTTCAGCGCTTCACTCCGACCCTCCCACTGAGTCTCTGTGAGGAGTGACAGACGGGGTTCAAGGCTAAAGCACAAAAGTGGGGACATCGCCCCCAAGTTCCCCTCGAGGTTGAAGACTTTGATCTGACTCCCGGGTTCCTGGAAGGTCTCTGTAGCACGTGTCCGGGTTTGTCTGTTGACACGGCAGGACGGCCCCCGGCCTGCTCCCTCGGTTGTTGCTGAAAGCCAGTGATCTCTCCTGTGTTTGCAAACCAGCGTCTTCTCTATTACTCGGCGGCTGGAGGCTCCTAAATGGCTGCTGCGTGGCGACGGGGCTCAGTGCCAGGCGGAGGGTCCGGCTGAGATGCTGCGCTCTTGGCGGGCAGCGGGCAGTGCACGTCACACCCGGACCCGCTGCCTCCGGCTCACTCGAGTGTCTCCCCTGCGTGCCCGGAGGGTGCAGCTGTGACGGAGCAGGGGCGGATGCGGGCGGGGCCCGTGGTGGCTGCCGACACGGTGCCGCCCTGACTGCGAGCAGGGAGAGGCTGTTTTGCAAATGGACCGCTTTATCCGTGGGACTCGGTCCCTGGCCTTCCCGGGGCCGTGGGCCTCTGGTTCGAGGTGCCCACGGCAACTGTGACTCATCTTCAGTGCAGCGAGCTTCCTCAAGGCACGGGACCGCGTCCAGGGACCAGAACGAGCTGCAGGTGGTGTCCTCCTGGGCTCGGGGACTTGGGGTGACACAGCCCCCCTCTAACTATCAGAAGCTCTGAAAGAGGCCCAAGGGGACAGGTTCCCCCTGGGACTGCGGAAACTGCAGGGGGGACCGAGCGATCGGTTCCAAGGGTGGCCTTTCGGGTTCTTTAGAAGTGAGCTCTGCCCCCTCGTCAGCTGCGTCTCCCCGGCTGAACTGGCCTTCCGCGCGTGCGGCGGGTCCGCAGTGTGCAGTGGGTCCCCGCTCGGCCTGTGTGATGGGTCCCTGCTCGGCACGGGCGGCAGGCAGGTCCTCGCTCACGTGGGTGGCGGGTCCTCACTCCACGGGTGTGACGGGTCCCGCTACACAGGCCCCTTCTCTCTAAGCCACGGAGCCGCTCACACAGCAGCGTGTCAGCCTTTGGGTCCATCCGACAGCAGAGCCCGTCGCAGCCGCGCATGGGCCGCTGGAACCCTGGCCTTGGAGGAGATGGAGGGGCAAGCACAGATGTGGCCGCCCCTGCGTGACCGGCTCTGTTCCCTCTTGCCCCTGCTGCTGCTGTTGAGGGTCACCTGGGCTCTCAGAGTGGGTGGGGCTGGGTTTGCTGAGCTGCTGGCTTCTCCTGCCCCATGTTTGGGGGTTCCCTCCATTTCATTTGAGGGGCAGTCAAAGGCCTTTCAGCAACGGCTATCACTTAGGGTCCCTCAGTCTGTTTTCTTGCGAAGCCTGGGCCCACATGAGCTGTGCACGTCCAGCCGCACGGGGACCTCGGCCACGGGTCTCTCGAGTGGTCAGCACAGCGAGCGAGCACCCGAGGGGCCCGTCACCTCTTAGCAAGAAGCCGGAATGAAGGCGAAGGGCCTGCTGCTGGGAGTGCGCAGAGGCCTGGCTGGTTCCCGGGCGGCAGGGCTGCTCGCGTGTTCTTGACTTGAGACCTGAGAGTTCAGGTCTGTGTTTGCCTAGGAGGATGGCGGGGGGCGGGGGGGGGGGGGAGTGTTATTTGCAAATGATTTTGATGAAGAGGAGGCTGTGAGGCACTTTTAAAAAAAATTTTTAAATGTTTTCATTGATTTTAGAGATGGTGGAAGGGAGAGGGTAAGAGAGAGAAACATCAATGAGAGAATCATTGACAGGCTGCCTCCTGCACGCCCCCCGCTGGGGATGGAGCCTGCGACCTCTCCTCTCCTCTCCTCTCCCTGAGTGCGTTACGCCCCACCCGCTGAGCAGCCGCCGGCAGTGAGGCTCCTGGGTAAGCCCCTGAGCCGGCACAGGTCCCGGCTGGATGAGGGGTGGACAGGCCTTTCTCGGCCGATGAAGGGTCGTCAGAAGGGCAGTTGCTCTGTCTGTGGAAACGTCGCTCTGGCCGCAGCGTGGAGGGTGCATTTCAAGTTACGCTTGCGATGATGCTCAGGTCAGAGCGCGAAGAGGAAGGCGCGTGGTGGGCTGTTGCCGTGGTCCAGGCATGAGGTGACGCGAGAAGCGAGGTTGCCCGGGCTTCACGCGCATTTCAGTCATGACTGTCCCTGTGCAGTGGTGTCCTGCTGCGGCCCACGTCTGGATCGTGGGGGACTTACTTCTGCGGCCAGTTCAGATGCAAGGCCTAGTGCAGCTACGCATCAGCGCCTTCCACGGACTGGCTGGGACAGATGTAATTATCTTAAAGGACATAAAGTGTTGACATGTGAAGGGAATGTCTTGTAAGTCCAGCTTAAGATATAAGCAGCCTAGGAGACTGGTAAAGATATATCATAAATAGATGCCTAGTTTATGCCAACTTCTTTCTCTAGGCCAGTGCTGCCTAGTAGGAATATAACGAGCCACAAATACAAGTCATACATGTAGCGTTACATTTATTTTCTAGTAGCCACATTAAAAGGTAAAAAGACCAAACAGGTGAAATTAATGTTAATAATACACTTTAACTCAGTATATACAAAACATTATCATTGCAAAATATAATATAAAAATTGAGTTATTTAATTTTCCTATTATCCATAGAAACATTCACTATATATAGCACCCTTTTTTTATACTAAATATTTAAAGTCCTGAGTCTCTTTATACTTTTAGCACGTATCCATTCAGGCTAACCTCATCTCAAGTTCTCCTGCAGACACATGTGGCTGCTGGCTACTGTACTCAACAGACACAGGTGGCTGCTGGTTACTGTACTCAACAGACACAGGTGGCTGCTGGTTACTGTACTCAACAGACACAGGTGGCTGCTGGTTACTGGACTCAACAGACACAGGTGGCTGCTGGCTACTGGACTCAATAGACACAGGTGGCTGCTGGCTACTCTACTCAATAGACACATGTGGCTGCTGGCTACTGGACTCAACAGACACAGGTGGCTGCTGGCTACTGGACTCAACAGACACAGGTGGCTGCTGGCTACTCTACTCAACAGACACATGTGGCTGCTGGCTACTGGACTCAACAGACACAGGTGGCTGCTGGCTACTGGACTCAACAGACACAGGTGGCTGCTGGCTACTCTACTCAACAGACACAGGTGGCTGCTGGCTGCTGTACTGGCCAGTGATGGCTTTTAAATTCTATTCCAAAGATACATGAAACATTTGAGCAGTACTTTCAAGAGTGCAACCTCAGTTTTTCTCGTTAGAAAAGTAATAAATCACTTGGGGGTATTACTTTAAAACCCGAGTACATTAATTAGGCATATTGAATCTTTATAATAGTAATATCAGTACACAGAAAGTGGGAACTAAGTGAGAATTATCTAAATGTCTGATTCTTGTCCACTATTGCTTTCTACAGTCTCAGGATGTGAAATAGCCCTAAATGTTGCTTCCATTTTGAAGTGGAGCCCAGCAGGTGATAGTGTAGGTGCACCATGTGAAAGGCCTCTGGGTGTTAAAGATGGAGATGAATTAAAGTTGGAAATGGAGACCCTCAGGGAGGCACAGGAAATGGTGTTACGGGTCTGTGGTAGGTGGCTGGCAGCTACATCGTCTCTGTAGCGTTGCCTAGTGTTCAGCTGGGCAGTTAAATTGCTTTCCACACGGCGGGGTGGTCAGGGCCCTGCATAGCCTGTTCGAACGTTTGGCAGCGTCTAGCCCCCAGGAATAGACGGGAGCGAGTGGGAGGGTCTGCTGTGCAGGCAGGCAGTCACTGAGAATGCCAGCTTCTCTAAGTCCACACCGGAGGACAGGTCTGGTACCCAGTGGACGCTTTCATGTTCCGGGAAGAAGCTGAGAGCTGCTCAATGTCATTTCCCCTTCCGCAGCCTAGCACGTGGTGCCCATGGAGCCGGAGCCGGAGTTTGGTGGATAAAAGGATGGAGGGATTATGGGATGCAGCCCGGGGAGAGGGAGGTCAGGGTCAAGGGACTGAGGTCCCGTGGGGTGGGAGGATGGCTTTCGCGTCCCACAGCGGTGGGGGCAGAGCAATGGAAGGAAAGGGGGGGCTTAAGGGGTGGGCGACGTGGGACACGGGCTCGCAGTAGCTCTAGGGGCCGTCACTCGGGCGAGGACGCCTTTCAGCATCTGACGCGCTGACTAGCGCCCGCCTCTCAGGTACGGGAACAGCTCGCGGAGCTACGCTGTCCGGGTCGGGGATTACCACACGCTGGTGCCCGAGGAGTTTGAAGAAGAAATCGGAGTCCAACAGATTGTCGTCCACGGGGCGTACCGGCCGGACAGCAGTGACCACGACATCGCCCTGGTCAGGCTGCAGGGGCCGGATGGGCAGTGCGCCAGGCTCAGCAGCCACGTGCTGCCCGCCTGCCTGCCGCTCTGGAGAGAGAGGCCACAGCGGACAGCCGCCGGCTGCCACATCACGGGCTGGGGAGACACAGGTAACGGGGACGACAGGCCGGGCGGTGGGCCGGGTCACCGGGCCGTGGCTGCTCGTGCGGTCGGTTGTAGAATCTTAGCGGATTCGGGCGAGTTGTTAGGAAGGTCTGCTGGGTGAGGTCATGAACTTGGGTTCCCATCCTGGGTGTGGAACTTCTGTGTAGGAGTTACTGTCCCCTCCCGTGCTGACGGGTCATTGTCGCTTGTAACCAGTCCTCACGTCAGTGCAGCAGATGGGCCTTAGAGCGGACATGCTCACCCAAACCAGCCCGGGCGGCCCTCGCCTTCTATGCGCAGTTCAGACACCGAGGCCTGTGCACCTGCTTTCGGGGGCTCTGTCTGTAGCGAGTCCACAGCGCTGCTAGTTCGTCTTCCGGACTCGGTGCTGAGAAGCGGGTTAGTGGAGGGTAAGAAGGTGCCAAGTGGCAGCATGACAAAGGCAGGCGGTGGCCTGGGTGCCGTTTAAACTGCACTCGAGTCACAGGAGGGCTTTTATGTGAAAGATGTTCATGTTCCTGAAACTGCCCAGGCAGCTCCTTCCGCAGGACGGTAGCTGGAAGCTAACCGCCGTCTGGTTTGCAGGGCGCGCCTACGCCAGGACGCTGCAGCAGGCCGCCGTGCCCTTGCTGCCCCGGAGGCGGTGCGCGGAGCGCTACCAGGGCCGCTTCACGGGAAGGATGCTCTGCGCCGGGAGCCTCCAGGGACACAGCCGCGTGGACAGCTGCCAGGGGGACAGCGGCGGGCCCCTCGTGTGCGAGCGGCCGGGAGCCGGCTGGGCCGTGTACGGGGTGACCTCCTGGGGCTATGGCTGTGGAGCCAAGGGTTCGCCCGGCGTTTATACCAAAGTTTCAGCCTTTGTACCTTGGATAAAAAGTGTCACCAAACTGTAATTGGCGGAACCCTCAAGGAAATACTTAAAAAATGTGTTGGGCAACTTTCAACCTCAGCGTT